GTGTGAATGAGGCCTTAATATTCCTCTTGCTATGTGTGCATACAGCCTGTTTTGGGCTCCTTATTGCACTCTCTCTAATGTCATAACGCTCTAACAATCCCTACACAACAGCTGTGAAAACTCTGTGTAAACATCAACTATACCTTCAGAGCGTTCAGTTTGCAGTTGAACAGTCTGTGTTTGTTTAGTAAATCAGCTACAGTGTATTGAAGTAATAAGTCAGCGTGTCAACTAGGTACCAAGCATTTTCAGAAGGAAAGATCAGCAATGGCCGCCTCAATGGTGGGGGATTTAGCAAACTGGAACAGTCAGAATCTGGAGCAGTTGCCCATGGCAACCAATTAGCATCCCTCTTCAGTTTGCTCAGTTGAGATTTAAAAATGAGAGATAGAAGCTGATTGGTTGCCAGGCAAAACTGCTCTAGGTTTTGCCTGCTCCACTACTGAAAAATTACCCCCCAATGTGTATCCGCAGCCATCAGCCATCCAGTCCGAGTGTGCTTAGTGCAGACTCTGCAGCATGACCTGGGGCTCCTTGACACTGTGAAGCTAGATACAATTGGGCTCCTCCTTTGGGTAGCACAGTATTCAAGATGGGTCGGTATTTTGGGGATATGTCCTCTTTGTCAGCCTCATTGGCTAATAAAGTGGGTGAATCCCCAAAACGCGTACTCATCCCACATGCCGTACGAATGGGAGGAGGATTTTAGTGCTTGTTTTGGGAATACACAGTTCTCTTCATCACGTATGATGTTAGGCCAAGACCATTTAAAGGCAAACCAGCACTGAGAACATATACAGGCTGCATTGCTGAACTCTGCTTTTGAAAATGCTAATTTTTTGTCTGTCATGCCGATCCAACGACTTTGACACTTTCCAAGTCTTTGACCTGGAACAAGTACGCAGGCCAACAGTACTAGCTTGGCTCTGTCTTCACTTGCATGATAATTCGTCAGTAATTGAGAAAGCAATAAAGCCAGACGCAGTCAAGCAATCAGAATTTGTAAAAAGTAGATGTAAACGCTAACTAGATGACATTCAGTTTGCTAAAACGCTGTGTATTATAAACAATTTCCTTTTTTTTTCGATAAAGTCGAAACTTTATTAAACCTTTTCGCTAGACCTTTTTACCATCCAATGCATCTTAGTGCTGCTGATCTCCTCTAGCCTCTATCAGTCACTCACGGTCCCCATGCACTCACTCCAGCACTAACTACACATTGTTTCTCTAAGGGCCCATTTCTGCAATCACACAGTGCATCCAATGTGCATTACTGTGCACTAGGTGCATTGCATTGCCATTCATTTATGGCACCTCCTTGTGGCTGTGCATTGCAGCACAGTGCAGTGTGTAATACTGTGCGGCGGGGGCATAACTAGAAATCACAGGGCCCTATAGCAAAATTTTGTATGGGGCCCTGTAATTTCTAGTTACACACCTTGCAGAGCCCCCCTGATATCCCAAACAGCCCACCTGAGAGTGACCCTGCAGAGCCCACCATAGACTCTCTATGGTGGGCTCTGCAGAGTCTCAGGTGGGCTGGTCACACCCCTGCACACCTCTTACCTGTCAGCCCCGATCCTCTGTCTGCTTCATCCTCCTCCTCCACAGTCGCTGGTGGGCCCCGCCTCCTTCTCTGTCCCCGGGCCCCGCCTCTTCTGCAGACCCTGGGCCCGTCTCCTCGTCCGCTACCGAATACGATGCTGGCCCTAGCCTCCTTCTTCACAGCTGCTGGCTGTCATTGACTCAGCAGCGGCTGTGAGGAGGAACGCGCCACAGGTCGTCAGTTATCTGAACAGCGGCACGTTCCTCCTCACAGCCACCAGTGACAGCCAGCGATGCCATAACGACCCAGGCGACCCGCACGGCATCAGGGGATGTCCTGGCCCGGCCCCCTTGCGCCGCGGCCCCATAACGGCCGCCTGGGTAGCTATGCAGATTATTTCATCGTTGCTGTGCGGTATTTCTGTTGTTTGTAAGTTTTGGTCCTATGGGACCTTATGACTTCATTCACTTACTAATAAGTATCCCAACTATAGTATTACTCAATCACTTAGTAGAGGTTTGGTAATAACCCAAACAAACACTAACAGCCAATACGAGATCAGCAGATCATAGCTATAATTAAAGTGGATTATAGAAGGAATGTAGGAGGTAACAGCCATGGGGGAAGTCATGTGACTACAAGAGAACTAACTCAATTTTTACTATGATAGGGGATTATGGGAGATAATGGTGGCTCTGCTGCCTGTGCTTTCCAGTGGATTGCCGTGGATCTGTGTCCTCACATTAGAAGAAATCATGAATAACATCTGTGTCATAGTGGTTCACATTAGACTGCATATGGCAAGCTGCAGTGGAATTGCAGCTAACAATGTCAGCAAGAAATCCTCACTCCCAAACTCCCCTTGAACTTAAAGCTGAACTCTAGGCAGATATCTTGCGGTCCCTGTACAGCAAGGCTGGAGTATGACAGAAAGAAGCAGCACAAGGAGCCAATCAGTTCATGAGCTGATAAGGAAAATGCTGATAGGAGAATAGAGCACAATGACAGAGAGATGAGCTCATCACTGTGCTGCTTCTCCTTTCACTGTCCAGGTAGGGGGAGGGTCCAGGAAGACCTGGTCTCAGAGGAAGTGGGTTAAATGATGATCGCCATCAGACTGAGGATGTCTAGTGGTAGGAGAAAAGTGCTGTGGGAAATATCTGGCTTGAAGGCAAATACTGCAGCCTAAGCTGCAATAGTCCATTCATTCCTCCTCCATGTTACTGAATGCCCGTACCATGACAGGGAAATGTATGGGAAGAAGAGCCGGCGGGAGCCATATCATTGCATCTTGGTTGTAATGCTTTAATGACTCCAATGCAAAAAATAATGAATGCACATAAAGTCATTAATGTTGTTCACACCATGTCTGATGAGCTGCGTTTTCTGCTTGCCACTACACATGTATGTATGTTCAGTTGTTTTCTATGTGCCTTGCTCACACCATACATGTGCGTTAGTGTGCAGAAAAATACAGCTCAATGGATGTGGTGTAAACAAGTCATTAGGGATTCAGCCCACTTCTGGGTGGACGTGCTGTGTTCCTGATCCAGAGACCTTCAGCTGAAATGTTGTAGCCCTGCTAAACATGTACACTCTATGCACAATTGGACTAAACATAGGTACACAGGAAGAATGCATGACGTATGGCTTGTGTTGGCTGCACACTTCCTAAGGAAATAAAATAAGATCAGCTTGCAGAATGCTGAACTCTTCATCAAACGTGTCTTTTCTGCAAAAGCAGGCATCCTTTCCCCTGTACAGTGATCAGCGCCTAGTAAAACACTCCTGATCTCTATTTTTTCTCTGCTGTACAAGTGAACAGCAGGTGGACCAGGAATCTTGGAAGCAGAAGGGAGGGATTACAAAGACTAAACTAATTTAGACAGTCTTCTCTTCCATCAGTCAGAGGAAGGGAGGAGGAGCCAGAGGACAGGGACAGCTGACAGCCACACACCAGCTGAGAGATGTTTGTCCAGCACCAGCCTTTAAGGACCAAGGCAGATCAGGGATACAATATAACAGGTTCACTTCGGGGCCATGTGCCAAAAGCAAGAGGCTTCCTTCCTCATCCTGAAATTGTTCCTTACCAACACAGCTGTGCCCTTCTGTAGGTGAACGATTGGAAGTTTTCTGGATTACAAAACACAGCATTGAGAAACAGGATTCCAAACGTGAAGACACTTCCAAGATTCCAACTAGAACGTGGAGTCACTTACAGGATTCCGAACAGAACGTGGAGACACTTCCAGGATTCTGAACAGAACGTGGAGACACTTCCAGGATTCCGAACAGAACGTGGAGACACTTCCAGGATTCCGAACAGAACGTGGAGACACTTCCAGGAATACGCAC